TTTTTTTTTTTTTTTTTTTTTTAATTTTGTGAAACAAGGAAGGAGACAAGTCTTCAGTGTGACAGTATCTGCCTTCTGTGTCTGGCTACTGGAATGAAGATCTAAACATTATTCACAGGGATTCAGATTCCTATCAAAGCTTCACAGTTGAGACTGGTGTTTTTATCAGCTGTTGTAATCCAGGCTCCTTTACATCTCTGAGGAACTTTATCCAAGCTTTTGTCTTCCTACAATCTTATATTAAGAAAACAAAAACTGGGTGTGGTGTGCATGCCCGTAATCCCAACACTGAGAGGCGGAGGCAGAAGGGTAGTTGGGAGTTTGAGGCCAGCCTGAACTAAGTAGTGAGTTCCAGGGCAGCCTGAACTGCATAGCAAAATTCTACCTCAAAAAAAAAAAAAAAAAAAAAAAAGGAAGAACATTATGCCCACTCCTCAGTTCTTGTCCCTCAATTTGAGATGTTTTACCCCAGCATAAATGTGCGTACTGCTTTTCACTAGTAAGAGTGGCCATCACAAACATGAGCTGGGAGAATTATTTTTTTCTTTTCAGTGGTGTGAGGAATTGAACCTGGGTCCTTTGCAATGAGTTACGTCCCCAGCCCATATTTAAATTTTTAATTTTGAGGCAGGTTCTTGCTAAGTCACTAAATTGCCTGGGTTGGGCTCAGACGTGGCAATATCCCTGCTTTACTCTCCTCCAGATTGCTGGAATTACAGGGGTAAGAACACTAATTTTTAAATTAAGACATTATGTTAGGTGTGGTGGTTCATTCCTATAATCCCAGCATTTGGGAGGCTGAGGCAGAAGGATCATGGCAAATTCAAGGAGGCCAGCCTGGGCTATATATAGTAATGATTTCAAAGTCAGCCTGAACTGTAGTGAGACCCTACCTCAAAAAAAAAAAAAAAAATTAAAACATTAGATAAAACTGAAAATTCCTCCATTACTGTTCTTTTATGTGCTGGTAAAAGCGCCTTTTCAGTTTACCCCCTGCGATCTAAAAATAAGAAAATCCTGTTGCAATAGTGTTAGATCCTCATTCCTCAGCGAGTTCCTCCTCCTCTCTGTGGTTGCCTTTGCGTTTGCTCTGAAGTCTTAAGAAAAAAGTATTAGCCAGAGATTTTTTGTGCACAAAGATGTCAGTTAACACTACCGAGACTGACGCCAAAAGGTTGAGCCAATAGAGTCTAAGACAATCACAGCACTACTGGATGATTGTCTGATAAAGAGGGAGACTTTACAAAGGGATCCAGAAGTGAGGTCAACGTCTGGGCCCCCAGGTTTATCCCCTAGCGATGGCCAGACCAAAATTTAAGCCAGTAGTTTGGTGCTGAGGCTCGAAAGTAGCCTTGTCGTTAGCTAGCTGGATTCGGGTAGCCTGGTAATTAGGGGGAAGATCAAACGTGACGGGGTGGGACACTGCGTTGTTTAGAATTACGCACAATTTTGAGCAGATGGACTCGGGGTCACAGTAATATGCCTCTTTTATAATTTTGGCTGTGGTGTAAAACTTCGTCCTACATTCATTCGTGAATTCATGCAGGAAGTGTCCACTGAATGGCATCTTCCAGCCGGGGCTGTGATGAACCCAGTGCAGCTCAGAGCCTCAGGAAGAGCCCTGGGTGGATAGAGTAAAGCTGTGGCGTGAAGCTGAGGGATAGGGAGGCCAAGGGAACCCAGAGTTCAGGTCTGAGAGTAAGAGGATTTGGAGTCTCTAGCGGTGCTTTTCCTTTGATTCCTAGGAAACTTGAACTGCTTGCCCCGACTCGTGCACTTTCTCTCTCGCTGGGCTGCTTACTGGTTGTGGTGGGCTAGTCAACCTTGCTAGAGATCTTCATTTGGGTAAAAACAGCATCTTCTTCAGGGCATCACCATGAGAATTAAAGGAATATTTTACACAGATGTTACTTATAACACATTATCAATGATATAGTAAGATATGTTATACATGAATAGGTTTCTATTGTTGCTATAGCTCATTACCTATCATAAAAATACTTACATATGGCTTTCTACAGAAGTCTCCCAGAGATTAATTTTGAGAACAGAGGTTTTAATCACATACTTTGGTGAATCTTTCAATGCAAACTACATTGAACGCAGTCAATACGTTCCTTCGTTTATGGATGCTGATTTGCTTTCCTCAAGGGCATTTGAGGTTGAAAATTATTTCTTTTAAAAAGAGCCTTTCTTTCTTTCTTTTCTATGTGTTACAGCATATAACTAGCACAACTCTTCTGATTAACTGACTGTGACTGGCTATTTATTTTGACTCTGCATAGCTCAAAAAGAAAGAAAGAGGGAAAGAACAAGAAGGTTAGTGAAAATTCCCCATGATACATACTTAGCCAAATGTCGGGACCAAGGAGAGGAATGGAGGAGATATAAAAAATGTCACTTTCTAATAGGGGGCATGCATGAGGTGGAATTTACTGAGCTGGAAGATGAAGAGAGTAAGTTTGCCTGCAAAGAAAGTGAAGAGAGGTTGTCACGAGCTGTGTGCTGTGCCTCAACTCGACCAGCAGGGGGTGGGGCACTAATTTGGAGGAGCTGAGCTTTGTTGAGGCAGAAGGGCACCGTGCGTGGGGGATGGGTACCCTTGGGAATCGCTGCCCTTGGGAAGTTCAGACAGGTACAGAGGCCTGAGAGGATGGCTCTGCAGAATCCCAAGAGCTTGGACAAGGCCTCCTTTCTTCGTTTCCTGCCTCCTTTGAGCCTGGCAGTTCTACTCCTTGCAGTAATTTGCAGACTCACGTCAGGTCCAGGACTAACCAGAGAGAGGAGCTGGACTTGAGAAGGGCCTGGATTGGCTAGTGAATGGCTTCTTTAGCTCTTGGTCCTTTGTCCTTCATCTGTTTTCTTGTCAATGGCTTTCCATCACTGTAACGACAAAGCATAAATACAGCAACATAGCATTTCAAATGATCAGTAGGCCTCTTTTTCTGTTTCTGATTGAAGATGGTCACATCAGCATGTATTTTAGGGCCCTACATTTAGTTTTTTGTTCTTCTGAGACAGGATCTCGCTGTGCCTTTTGATACTAGATAGAAGTTTATTTCTATTACTAACTTTAGTCTCTTAGAAAATGATGTTTTGATGCTTACAAAATATTTCACTTACACTTTGGGCTCTCTTTTTTGGTAACAAATTAGGCCCTTACTCCCCTGAAAGAATAACCGGACTGAGGGTTTTCTCCCGTTATTCTAGAAAATACTATTCTCTGTGCAGAGGGAAACTTCTGATATGATTTTCACTGTTAATAATTATGAGACAGATCCCAGAATGAATGATTGCCCGCATAGCCTGCCATATTGAGTAAGATTTCAATGATTAAAAATCAAGGTTGAGGGCCAGGGATTTAGCTCAGTGGTTCCGTCAAATGCCTTGCAAGTGCAAGGACCTGAGTTCAATTCCCAGTACAAAAAAAAAAAAAAATCAAGGCTGAGCTGGGTATGATGCTACATTCCTGCCATCCTAATACTCGGGAAGCCAGGAGAATTGCCACAAGTTTGAGGCCACCTGGACTACACAGTGAATTCAAGGACAGCTTAAACTACATAGTACAATCCTGTCTCAAAAAAAAAAAAAAAAATCAAGGATGACAGTTTAACAGGTTAATTATGGTTCTGAAATCCCCAAGGGGGCTTTAACCATAGTTTTTCAGACATGTACTTTGCCAAATAAGCCACTATCTGACAGATATATCTACTGTACCCTGAAGTGCAAGACCAACACTGAAGTGTCCTTCTTGCTATACCAAGAAGTCAGATACCCAAGTTCAGGGTGATGGCTGATGCTGATTGCCAACTTTGTGGACTCGAGTGATGCCTAGATTAGCCGAGCATGCTCCTGGGGGCTCTGGGTAGGATCTGGGGGCGTGACCTTTGGGACTGTGTTTGGTCCCTCACCCTTTCCTCTCTGGACCTTTCCATCATCCTCTTCTTTCTGGATGCCATGAAGCAAGCAGCTTTCCCCTGCCGTGCTCTGCTACCATATTTCTGCCTAGGAGGAAGCAGAGCTCTGAAACTGTGCACCGTGATAAACATTTCCTCCTTTCGGCGTGTGTCAGGGAGGTCGTTGTCCCAGCAATGGAAAGGTGATTAATGTAACCAGACACCATCCAAAACCAGATACTCCAAGGACTTTCCTTGGGGAGAAGGCTGGGAAGGGAGGGGTGAGAAAATAAGGCTGGGAGAGAAGCGTGAATCCAACAGAATATCCAAGGTGGTTTGCTGCCTGTGTGAGCAGCAGGGAAAACAGCGGGTCAGCCCAATTTCCCAGCACACCCATTGGGGCAGCAGAATACCTACAATATGCTGTGTAAACTTGATAACCACTGTTTCCACTTGTGCTGGCTGACAATCTTAGGTGCTCTGCTGAGCCCCAAAACGTTGACACAGTGCAGCAGATAATGATGCAGAAGGTGATCTTAAGGGACCTGAAATCATTTCCTCTGGCTCTTTAGATAAAGCCGCATGCGCTCCTCCTAGCTGTGTGCACAGCAGCAGTCCGCGGCTTTGAAGTCAAACCTAAGCATTGTATGACGGTTGTTAGGGTCTGACCTCCTCAGGACGGTCCACTTGGTCGTGTGGCTCTTCCAACAATCCGGAGCCTGCAATTCTGAGAAAAAAACTGAGCAAACTGACATGTGTTTCAGGGCCACCTGAAGGGTAGAGCAGTCTCCACCTGCCGTGTGGATTCCTGCTTCCTTTTTCTTGCCGGTGAAAAGCCCTGGCGAAACTGTGAGAAGAGAGAGCCCAGGGACTGTCCGCCTTTCCGTCCCCCACATAAACACGACTCAACTTTCCACTGGTGGTGACCTGCCCTCCGGGGGGACTTCGCTGTTGGGTGTTTTTCGCTAAAAGAAAACAAATTGAGGAATGGACTTCCCTGCACACTAACGAAATGGCTGAGCCAACCCAGGGGTGATGAGAAGGCTTTCAGAACCCAGGAGAATAATGATCCTCAGTCTCTGACCTCCTGGCTATTTATCAGGAGGCACATGTGACTGGCTAAGACGCCGAGCCGGGGCTTCAAGGAAACAGCTGCTGCTGATACACTCTGCGCTTGGCAGCTGGACAAGCAGAAGGCAGTGGCAAATCCACCCCAGTAAGTAACTGCACACTTTCAAGCTGCGTGTGTGTGTGTGTGTGTGTGTGTGTTTGCACAAGCTACCAACAACTTATTTTATTTTGATTTTGGTTTCCCTCTGACAGCGCAGAAGGAAATGCCTTATTTGTACCTGTTAATTCCCATTTGTGCTTTTACTAGCCATTGAAGAATGTGTTATTTTTAGCAATGTCATCTTCTAACTTTGAGGATGAATGTGGCGTTTTTCTTTATCCCTGTCTGTGGAAGGGTTTTGTTTCCAGGTGTCCAGGATTTTTATGGCCCATAGCACTTCGGTTCAGAGCCAAGATTCAGGTAACAAAGTGCAGAAGTCATGGAAGTGAGCTGACTAGATTTGATTTTAGTCTATTTTACCATTAAAATTTAAAGACATAGTTGTTCAGAATCACTCGTGAATTGGTTGTGTGGCTGGCTTGAGCATTCCTAGTTGACTTGAAGACTATTTCACTTAACAGTGTATAACTGGCTGTTCTACAGAGAACTGAGGAGGTAATATTTGATTCGATTAAAAATCATACTTGGATTTCATGCATGTTTTCTGACTCACTGAAAGCTATCTTGAGAGCTCTTTTCTTCACTGAGTTAAATCACCCGCGATATTTTAAAGCTAAAATTTTCAGTTGCTCCTGGGCTTCCTTGTTTTCATGTTTCTGCAATGCTTGGGCTCTTGTTTCTTTGTTTATGACATGGGTTATGAAAGTACTGCCCGAAGCTGATGGTCCACCCTGGGGACCTGGCACACAGAGACCTGAGAAGATGTCCTCTCCCTGGTCATTCAGCAACAGGGAGTGTGGTCTATGGAGAGCTGCAAGTGGTGCTGTGCTGGGACAGAGTTTAGGGTAGTTGTCCTTCTCTGGTGGTCACCAGCCAGAGTGGACAAGAGGAAAGAAAAGAGGGGAACACTGAGAAGGCAGAACCCAGAATAGATAACATATCCTCTGAAAGTGACAGGCCTCTCAACCAGAGATGCAGGGCGGTGACCAGGAAGCTTCCTTTTCCAAGTTACCCAGACAGTATTGAGGGGAGTGGTGGTTATTTTCATCTGAATTCTCATTGGACAGTGTTTGGCTTGCAGTGGTCCAGGGCCCTTGGAAGTGTGACCAAGGACTACTGAGTGCAATTTGCATGGGACTCTGCCCCTGCCCTGAGGGAACTCTGCTTTCTCTCCCCCTGCCAGCCACCATTTGCTGGATGTGGAGATTGCGTGGAAAATGACCCAAGGTGAGTTGGCTCTGCCACAGAATTCCCCCAGCACAGTTGGGCTGGAGTGCTTCATTAGCAGCCACAGATTCTCCAGTGGGGGAAAAATGGCTAGCCTGGCAAAGGGACATTTTTCCTCTTATCCCTTAAAATATAGAAGAAACCACAGTCCTGAGTGTCCAATGAGAAAAAAAAAATGGTTGCAACTCCTCCGTTCCTGTTTATGTTATTTGTGTGAAGGGTCCTTGGGTCAGCTGGCATCCACATGGCCTGTGACTTCCCTGTTGGGCTGCAGGAGATCCGTGATTTCTCTGTGCCTGCCATGCTGGGTCTTTTTCTAAGGAGTTCACTTCTGGTTTGGTTTCCCTTTTTCCTTATGTTGATAGTGGAAAAGAATTCTCCAATCAAATCATTTCTTCAGAAAGATAGAGCCTCCCACAATAAAATACAGTATCTAATTCAGTCGGAACTAAAAACTGTTCTCTGTAATTGTGACAATATCATTTACATCAATTTATAGGGCAAGGTGTAGTTCAGTGGTAGAACATGTGCATAGCATGCACCAGCCCCTGATTTTGATCTCTATCACTGCAAATAATAAAAAAAGAGCTTATTAAATGGAATATCTAGCATGGTATGGTGGTGCAGTGCCTGTAATCCCAGTGGCTCAGCAGGCTGAGGCAGGAGGATTGACTGTTTGAGGGCTATATAGAAAGCTCCAGGCAGCCTTAACACACAGTAAGACCATGTTGAGGGGCAGGAAGGAAAGTCTAAATAGGAATCAGCACATTTTTTGCATTGTACAACTGCATAATTTTTGAAAGCTCACTGATCTTGAGAAACTCCATGAATTTTCAAAATGTTAATAACATAATAATAAATACAATTACTTCACACACATAGTATATCGTTGTACTCAAAGACTTTTAGATCTGGATAGGAATTACAGAATGTTTAGTCTAGCACCTCCATTTTGAAGGTGAGGAAATCACAGTAAATGTATCTAAGTCATGGCGCAGAGCCAGAAAAGAGAGTAGTTCTGGTACTGTTACAGAGTAATATTAATTCTAGCAATTACAATGTACATTTACTGTGCACTTACCATGACAAAGGAAGAACATTTTCATAGAGTCCTGGCATGACCCCATGTGCTATATGAATAGATGTGATTCACGGTGGTTCAATTTAACAAGTTTTGGGTTTTGTTTTTTTTTTTTCTGGTTCCAGGAATCAAACTCAGGACCTTGTACTTGCAAGGCAGGCACAGCGCCACTGAGCTAAATCCCTAGCCCTCAATTTAACAAGTTTTGGACTCTACAAAGTTATGACAGTTATAGGCATTCAGTGGAAACCGTACTGGGAATTTTGAATTTGGATCTCTTCCAGAACGAGTGATATACTCTATAATTAATCCTTTCTTGAGAGGCAGGGCAGTGACCAAGACCATGGTGCAGACAATCAACCATCCACATTGCCCATGCTTAGTAAGCAGGGTTGTTCAGGAGGTTAGGTGCATGAAAATGCATTTTCTTCTTTTTATTTTTATTTTTTTGGTACCAGGGATCGAACTTGGGAACTTGCTCTTGTGAGGCAGGTGGCAGCACCACTGAGCTAAATCTCTGGCCCCAAAAATGCATTTTCAACTAATCACATGTTCGACTTCTGATGGGTTGATTGGTATGTAACTCCTGTAAGTTGAGTAGCATTTGAGTATTATTATTCTTCCAGTTTCATAAAGGAGAAATGAAGGCTTGGAGACCCCTTAGATACAAACAGGAGTAACATTTAGATCTGATACCAGAATGTACACACATTAAAAAAAAATGCAATTTATGGCAAATCCCACACAGTTAAACGTAAAAACCCATGAAATGTAAATGAGAGAATTTCCAGCACAGTTAAGACTAGATGCACTGTGTGTTACGGGCTTTCCAAGCCCTGTGTGGCAGGAAGGACTAGGTTTCCCCCTGCGACAGTGCAAGCCCAGGCCACACAGAAGCACTGACTGGTGGTGTGTTTTTCTCTCTGGACACAGTGCACAGTGGCAGCCCTTACACAGGAAAGGCCAGCAACCGAGAGCTTTGTCACCACCTGGAGCACAGGGCTCTCCCTGTCCCCTCTGGCCTTTCCCTGATTTTCCTGTCACTCCTTTCCTTTGAGGAACAGCTGCTCCCCACCCATGCTCCACCCGGAATCTCTGGCTTAGTGGTAGTGAGACCTTCCTTCACCCTGTTCCTCGCGGCTCAGACTGGTTGTGCCAGCAGGTTGTTCATGAAGAGAAACTTCCCAGGCTTTTGCTCTGCTCCTGTTTGCTCTGAGGTGTGCTTTGGGTGGGGGATGGGGGTCCAATGGGGGTCCCAGAACAGCAGCGGATTGGCTGGGAGGGAGGAGACTGATATCCACACACTGCCTGTCTCACCAGTGAACCTGCGGCTTTTCTGGGTCATGAGACAGAGCCCTTAACAGAAACTTAACTTCTTGAACCCTTTCAGAAGTCCCAGCTGCAGCTCCACATTACTCCTCTTGGTTAAATCTGAAGACTGTGGTAGCACAGCCCTCGGAAATAACACACAAGCCGCAGTGGGGCTGGGGAAGCCCTTTGGTCAGTCAGGGGGAGAAGTAAGCAAGTAGCCTATGCATCGATGTCTTTAAGAAAACATTATCCATGCTCGTTCAAGGTCATTATGATAAGATTACATTTTTGTTTTGCTGTTTGTTTGAGACAGGGTCTTGCTATGCAGTTCAGGCTGACCTTGAACTCACTGTGTAGATCAAGGTGACTTCAAACTCGAAGCGATCCAAATTCTGAGATTACAGGTGTGTGCTTTCATGGCTGTCTATGATTACATTCTTTGAAGATGAAGCTATTCAGAGAAAGAAATGGAAATTTTTCATCTTTAGTTCCACCTGCCCAGGGCCTTAGGGCCAACTCAGTAGTAGTCGTCCGTACAGTAAGGTAGACCAGAACCACTGGGCATTACCTCCAGTGGAAGTTACAGTCACCCCTCAATATTCTTGAGGACTGCTCTCTGGGCACTCAAGTTCCCTACCTATAACGTCACAGGGTTTGCATACAACCTGTTTGTGTCCTCCTGTGTCCTTTAAATCATCTCTAGGTCACTTTTAGAATCTTATATGACATAAACACTGTGTTAATAAATGTTATACTGTATTGGCCAGGGAATAAGAATAAGCCTGTAGCTGTTCAATACAGGTGTAATTACTTTCAAAAACATTTTTGATCCTCGGTTGAATCGGTGGATGTGGAACCCAAGGAGGAGGACACAATACCACGGACGCTTGGTGGGGACTTATTTCCATGGCCATTGGCACAGTCCAGTGGGTGTTATATAGAAACACGTGAAATGGAGTCAGAATTGTGACAGAGTGTACCGTGAAGCTCCAGGGCTGTTCTGAAGCAATATAAAATGCTTGATTAACTTGGAGGGAACTCTTACAGTAAGGAAACAAATTCTGTGGTGCAGTGCTTATTTTATTTGTGCCTCATTGTTCTATTATTATTGTTATCATTACTGCTGCTATTAGTCTTTGTTTTAGATGGGCTCTTGCTACGTAGTTCAGACTGGCCTTAAACTCACTATGTAGGCCAGGCTGGCCTCGGATTTGCAGCCATCTTCCTGCTTTAGCTTCTCAAGGGATTACAGGCATGCACCACCACACCCAGTTTTAGACTGAGTGCTTTAATGGTGTCTGTTCCCAAAGAGTTAAAATCCTTGCAGTGAATGCCCTTTCCCAGTATATCAGTTGCTCACTTATAG